CCCCTCCCCCCACCCCAGTTTTATTCTCATGACTCATGAGTACTCAGGTTTTTTAGTGGCCCCACCATGGCCCCCCCTGAAAAAAAAAACTCTGCAGGCGCCCATGCAATATCTCTGAGCCTCTGCTGCCCATAACTGGTGAGGAATATAATGARACTTTTTGCTATAAATGAATGGGGACAAGTAAAGCTGTATACTTTTCTTTATGATCTTGGAAGCAGCCTGTGGGGGAAAAAATACTCAACACACTATTTCATTTTCATAACTTGTTTTTTTTTTTTAAACAAATGTGCAAGCTGACTCAAACCACACATCCTGCACAAAGTAAAAATAATAAAATAAACAGTTATGACAATCATATTCTATCCTGGAGATTTCTCTGTTTCTTCCCTTCTGAGTTCCATAAGGCACACAAAATAATCCGCTTAACAGGGAACCAAAAAAATGCAGTGAGATCAAATTTGGTGAAACTCTGCCGTCATCTAGTGGACAAACCGTGTTGGCTGARAGTTTGGCTATTCAACTACATTCATTCAAAGTCATTCAAAGATTAAATACGGGCATTATTTAGGAAAATAAATAAATTTGTTGCCCCCTCCTTTAGTTATGAGAAGTCATGTGTCTGGACAGGTGGTGCCTCTCTCTGAAGTACTCGTGGCAGATCGGGCAGGTGAGTTTCTCCTCCCTCCTGCGCCTCACCTGAGATTCTGACGCGAACTCCTTCTTGTGGTGGGAGCGCATGTGGAACACCAGGTCAGAGGTCATGCGGAAGGAAAGGTTGCATTTGGCGCACCAGTTCTGCACCGACACGCCGAACGAGGTGAACGTCGGCGGGAGGATGGTGAGGGAAGCTGTGGTCTGCAGCTGCGCGCCAAAGTTCCTGGCCCAGTGCTCCGGTGCGTAATGGAAAGCGTTGCTTAATGGCACCGAGGAGCCCAGCGCGTGCACGTCAGCGCTTAGGATGCTGGTCGCCATCAGATTGTTGTAGCCCAGAACGGTGCTGCTGGTGAAACCATCAGCCATCTCATCTAGGCGGCTAGAGGGGGCTGTCGGAGCGCTGCTGAGGTGGGTCTGTGGCTCCYCTGGGGCAGTTCTTTTACTCGGTTTACAAAAAGCGCTTTTCTGCTCGCCCTGCTGGCTGTTTGACAGAACCACAGAAAATGCGCTGCTGCCGCTGCCAGAACGAACACCAGACCCCTCCCCTGTCTCCAAGCGCGTATCCACCTCCCTGCCGTGCGTAAAAGCCCCGCTGACTTCCCCACCTTCAGCCAAATCAGCACTTCTGCGTCCCGCATGAACCGCTCTGACCCTTTCGGCTTTCAGTTTCCCAGTGGAGGAGGAGTCTCCCGCCCCCTGCTCGTGGCCCTTCGCTGCTTGCGTAACGTTTTCGTCGTTCGAAATGTTCGTTTTTTCCAGCAGGACGGTTTTGCGCCACTTGGAGAGCAGAGTCTCCTCGCTCTTCCTCCTTCTGGAGGAGCCCGCCGCGTCCTCGTCGGTGCCAGACGTTTTCTGCTCCAGATCTCTGGCGATGTTGTGGAAATCTGTCACTCGGCGTTGCCTTTTSACTTCCACGTGCTTGTGCTCGTGAACTTCACGGCTCCAGGTGTCGCATTTCGCTTGAGTGCACAGAAATCTGCAATGAGCCACGAAGGGGTTCTCATTTTGGAACACCTGGTGGCACCGTCCACATTTGAATTCTACAAGAAAAGAGGGGGGGGACACGATTTAATTAATTTAGCTCATTCTGACATTTATTTAAGTGTTTGAATGTCAGTTTGGTGATGGACACATAAAAGCTCCTAATCACCTTCTAGGCCTTTGATCGTATCGGTGAAGCCCAGCAGGTGAGACAGCTCCTGGTCGTACCACACCAGCAGCTCTTCCTCTGGCCGGATGTCCCGGGTGGTCCTCACATACAGCTGACCCGCCTTCAGAAAGGCCTCCGTGTTCTGCTCCTCTCCGTTGCGCGCAGCTTGCACGAGCCGCAACCAAGACAGCACCAGAGCAGAGTTGCGCAAAGCCTCTGGGTCGACCTGTAGGCGCAAAGCACTGATGTTTCACTGCCGTTCTCAAAGGATGAGCATTCATTAAATTCTTCTAAGATTTTTTTTTTTGTGTTTTATCCATCATCAGCTTCATGGCAAATAAAACAGAACAAAATGGCTAAAATGTAAGGCGTTAGTTTCCTGACCTTTTGACCTGAGAATGACTCACCCMGAACATGTAGGATTTGGACGTCTTGTCGCAGCACTTCTGCGCTATGAAGGCGATGGTGTCATAGAAAGTGTTTTGGAGCAGGCACGGACCGAAGCACGTGCCTGCAGGGATGCTGCGCGTCACCACCACGCTGCTGTTGAGATCTGTTGGATGCTGGAGGAATTTACAGTCCCCGGTCCACATGGACCGAGGCAGGAGACAGTGGTCCATAGAGAGGCTGGAACAAAAACCATGAACCGATCAGCGGTTTTACGCAGAAATATTTWAAAAATGTGTTTGTTTTAATACAATAAAAAATAGTGACATGTGAATCGTGTCGCCTTGACCCATGGAAAATTATTTTATCATGTTAAAAAAGATGTTCATTATTATTTTTCTTGATTAGATTTAAAAAAAAATACAGGTCCCAGAGGGAAGTGGGCGCAGCCGGGMTTGAAGCCAAATAATTTCTAACGTTCTTTGTCTCAGTTTTTCACTCCGTTACTCCTTTTGTCTCCGCATCTGGCGCGGACTCCAACTGCCTCCTCTGCGCGCAGAACTTCAATTTGATCATTTGTGAATAACAATCAAGCATTACGTAGCTGTAGCTTTTTAAAAATCCCTCTATGATCAGGACAAAGTGACGAAATTTGTAGGATGTAAATTTAAATAAGAAAAAAAAAAAGGAACGATCCGTTGATGAGTTTTGGAAGAAATTTGTCTGCAAATTAGGAAATGTCAAAACGCGTTGGTTCTAAATCTCTCGTGAAGATGGAACGGATGAGGGTGGGTCAGGGATGCTGCGCGTGGACTCACCCTCCGGACATGGAGCGGGGTGTTGGTTCCGTGTGGCAGCAGGTGCAGTGGACCTCCAGGGACGAAGCTCCCTCCAAAGACTCTCCTCTCTGTCTGAAACCTCCTGCGCTCTGTCGCCTCTCTCCTCTCCCACCTCCACTTATGTTACTGAGCAAACTCCAGCCTGGAGCGTGTGTGTGTGTGTGTGTGCGCGCGCGTGTGTGTGTGTGCTTCCAATTCTCCTTTGTCATTATGCACAGCTCTCTGTGTGTGTGTGGGGGAGTGATAATAATAAGGGAAAAGGGATGATCTGAAATAATTGGCAAATTATTCCTTTACGCCAAAAAAAAGATGCATTTGTGTGATAGCGTTTTATATAAAGTCACACTAAAGCAGAAGAAAAAGCTTCATCTCACACGAATTGTTGGCTTGCAAAAAAAATTTTCAAATGAATGTGAATTATCCTAACTTGTCTTAGTGTTCAAAGGATCCATTGTTCAGTTGAACATGTAAAAAACAATAAATTTGTCCACATCACATCACACTGGTGGAATTTGGCCAATGGGAAACTGAAGGAAAGTTGACTGCTATTACACACCATGATGCTGGTGGTCTGGGCTTGCCACTGGGAAAATGCATTATTCATGACTGCATGCTTCTGTCTAATGAGCATTTAATGATTATTCTGCATCGTAGATTGGCTTTAGAATAAATGTCCTTCTGGTTTCTGAGCCAAATTTGGCTCATGAGAAAGTAACTCATAAGCCTGGAAGGAGGACTCTCTGGGAGCTCTCCAAATCAAATAATAACAGATCATTCTGTTTGCTTCAGTGAAAGAACAATTATAATTGTAATAAATACATCAGTTTGGTTGGCTGAGCGATCTACTGTGCAGAAGTTTGATTTGAAATTTATTTTCATTTCCAAGGAGCCAGACTTTTGTTTTAAAGGAGGCTTGGTCAATATTTCTTTAGGATTTCTAAGAGTTTTTTTTCTGGACTTTGGCTGCTTTCTGACTTAATCGTTCCAATCTTTGCACCCGACTCCTTTCATGTGGGGGCTTTAAAACATAGTGGACACCTGGATGACAGAAGTTTCAAAGCCTAAAACTTACAACAGATGAAATCTGAAAGTTGTAAAATCCAGCAAAGTTCAGACACAGGATGTGAGAAATGCACCGTCCTTCAGTTTTCAGAAATACTTAATGAGTTCTTGTGAAACGCTGGTGATAAAGTGTCACCATATCCATTTTAAAAGGTTTGTGCTGAGCTTGTTTAACATGATTCTTATTTTTGAGTTCATAGGAGCCTTTTGAGTTGAGTGGCCCAACTCCCAAAAAACAAACCCCCCTTTTTTAATGGTCAGGTACTGAACCAGTGCCAAAMCTTTTTAAGCAAAGATTTTGCTCAGTGAGTTGTGCTRYKACGAWGTGCTGAGGATAACTCTCAGCTACTACCACATCAAATTTGAGCTCAACTTTTGTAAAACTTTGGATCCATTTTATGTTTTAGGCTGGTTATTGTGGTGACCATCCTAAACAGAGATGACTTCAAATTTATTGCTTTCATGTTTAAAGTTTGCAGAACACAGAGAGGGAAAGAGGCAAAAACATTATTGCCTGCAGTGGATAATAAAAGTCCAGAAATTATTGGGTTCAGAGAATATGTTTATTTATTTAATGTGACAGATCTAAAAAGGCTAATTAATTAATGACATGAACATTAATTGTCTTATTTTTAAATGAACATTCTATTCTAACTAAGACACTGTCCTTGATTTAATTATTTTAACGCAACTTAATCAAGGAGAAGTCTGATCTAAATGGTTTTATGAGTACAGATTCTTTCTTGTCTTGTGGAAAAACTGGGAAAAGTGGAGTTTAGTATCTCTCCTCGGGTGTCGCTCCTCTCCTCCTGCCCTCCTTTCATGCTTTTTTTTTTTTTTCCCCCGACAGAAGAGTTGAAGAGTCCGACTTGAGCCGAACAAGACTCTTGGGGAGGCTGATCCAGCCCACACAAAGGAAGCCGAACAACCAAACAACAAAGCAGCTCTCGCACACGCTCCGTGGACAACCCGACGGTAAAAGAGACATGCGAAGATCTTTGGCTGGCTTGAAGTAAAGTCGGAAACCTGGAAAGATGGCGCGCACGCAGGCTCGCCTGTTCCTCGCCTTGGCTTTGCTTGGAATTTTCTTCCTCCACGTCTCCGTGGAAGGAGCGCAACAGGAGGTGGAGGAGGAGGTGGTGGAGGAGGAGGAGAAGATGTCCTGTCAGGGAGCGTTTGACCTCTACTTTGTTGTGGACAAGTGAGTCTCCAGTATTCTTTATGGCTTTGTTACTTTCTGGTGGCTGCGCGTCGCCGTGCAACCCGACAAGCCTGGGAACGCGGAGCGCATCAGCTGAACGCGCTGCTGTGGCCTAACTGCACTTCAGAGAGGGAAACTAGAACAGGAAGCCCCTTGTAGGGGAGYAAAAAACATCTGCTTATAATTGAGTTATACTAGACTCTTAAAAACTCTACTTTCTTTTGCAAACAAACAGTGTAAAATTTGTCCCATAATGACTTTATAAAACTAACTTCTGGTTGTTTTTCTAAACATTTAGTGTCTTCAGGAATGTTACWGGGCTGACTTAAGTGTGGGGAAAATGGGGAATATTCTGGAGACTGGACTTTTTTTRCCCCTTCTGGTTAAAAGTGGTGAGTCAAACAGACTCAACTTTACCCACGGGATGTGGGCAGGGCGAGCAGGATAGAGTTTCAGGCCGATGACGCCTGCGGATACAGCTGCAGAAAGCTGCAGAGGGGCTGTTCAGCCAGGTCATCTCTTTCCTTCTAGTGTCTTGATCTCATTCTTGAGACAGAAAAAAAAGACTAGACTCTGGTTAGATATTATTGTGTTGTGAGACGTTATAAGCCACCTTTAAAACAACTAAAAACCATCTAAGATGTATAGGATGTGTCCTCTTGCAGCTAAAGTTTTATTTGGCTCTTTATTTGAAAACTTTTGTCCCTTTTCAGAAAAGGTTAGTTAAATATCTGAAGGATAGCTAATTGGTGTATTTCCTCATTCTAATTAAAGGGGCACTTTGTAGCGTTTAGTGACATCTAGAGGCAAAGTTGCAGATTGCAGCCAAACAATTCTCATCACTCAAGGAAAAAAACTGATGCAAAAAAAGGGAAAATAAGCTTTTAATGTCAGTTTTTGAAAGCTCTAATTTAATTGATATGGGTATTTTGAGATAAGTCACTGATGATTGGGCGTAAGGTGACCTATGATGGTTAAAGATTTTCTGTTGGTAGTGACCAATGTGGGCACAACTCCTACATTGGTTTTTACGGCACCTGGCATTCTCAGGTGGTCTTTCGTCCAAGCACTAACCAAGCCCGACCCTGCTTAACTTCTGTTATGGCCGTGTTCTTTATAATACCATTGTTCTTTATATTGACAACAGTTATGATCATAGAATACAACTTCCAACTCTCCTGTGCACACAAACTAATATCACAATATGATTTTTATGTGGCAGTTAAAGGGTACTTACAGGGGTACTTGGAGTAAATATACATATTGTGGTTTGTATCTTGGTAATTACACGATACCTACAGGGGTCCTCCTTTCAAATGGTGCTTCCAGGGTACACACAGTGGGGCTTATACATACAGGAATCTACAGCGATTGGGATATCTTATGATGAGACTTGTTAATCTGTACTTACAGTATACATTAAGGTTATGTACGTGGTCATGGTGGTACTTAAGGGTTCCTACTGGATGCTTACCCTGTAAGTACCAGTATTGCTACCATTTTTTACAAGAATTTTTGTTTGTTTTGACTTGAAGTGGTGGAGGGTTGGCAGGAAATGAAACCTCATCCAGTCAGATTTGTATCAGAATCCCTGCAGCTTCCAGCTTATCWGCTTACATATATTTACATTACAGACTTCTGACAGCAAAATCACTTATCCGTGGCTGTGTTAAATCACTTTTTTAAATTAAAACTTAACAGACTGTTTGGATTTTATTTTGTAATTCAGGAGAACTCCTCGTTATGCAATGTCACAGCTTAAACAAACACTATAAAAAGATTTTAATAGTKATTTCTGTGATAATTTTGGTTTGTGTTTGTCTCAAAAAGCCTAAGATGTGTAGCTGCTCAGACACTATAATTGACTTTTAGTAATTTTTTGAGCTTGAGCTCATGCACTAAAAGATTAATGACATGTCAAGACTTGACGAGAAAGGAGAAAAAGYGATAACGGGAACATTTTTTTGGTGAAAGGTTTGGATGTCCTCAGCGGCACCAAGCAGGAGCTGGTTGACACTTTGAGTGACATTTAACTTTGGTTTCCACGCGTTAGATGATCTTTCAGATGTCAGCATCTGTCAGTCACTCTTTAGTCTTTACCCTTTGCTTCAAAAAGTTTAGGAGCAGCCTGGGGAGTGTGGCGTGTCACGCATGGCCAAGCCTCTGGTGCTCCTCGGGTTTGTTTGGACCGTCTGGAGCAGCAAGTTTCAGCAGGCCTTCAGGAAGCAGCTGATCTTTCTCCTCATYGTTCTGTCTCTGTGGCTGCAGCTCCTAAATGCCATCCAGTGACCTAATCTAATATTTCTGAGACAGATCAGAGCTGAACATTATTATGTTTGTCTTTCTCAGTTGTTTGCATTTGGCTCTATGGGAGACACAAGAAGTGTGCATTATTTCCTGTGAAAGCATTAGAAAAATAATTATCTCACCCTTTAAACACCATGTCTGACCTGCTGTAAATGCCAAGCTACATTTTTGTATTGATCTGATTAGGCACAAATTAAATAATAGATGTTATGTGCTGTGGTKAGGTCCTGAACAGAGATTTGTTTTCACACAGAGGGTAAACACAAAGCCAGTCTGCCATTTTACCATGCAATAATGGAAAGAAAAAAAAACTGAAGACAAATTTCTGATATTTTATATTTATTTTTATCCTCTAAACTCACTATTGCTAATATATTGCACTATTGCAAAATACAAGTCTACTGCATTCAGTTTTAAAAAGGCAATTAAATTCACTGAAAGTCCCTGTTCTTTGTTTTTTAAAGAGATAAATCMGCTAAAAAGCGTGCTAATTTCAGTTATTTATTTTAAAGTAAAAAAAAAAGGGAAACATTTGCCTATAATAAATAAGATTTATTTATTATACTGTTCGAAACCTCCGATGTTTAACCTCCTTAAACCTCCAATGGAGACCTAGCTTTTGTCCCCATAAGGAATAGTGGATCTTCACTAGGCGGTGTGCACCAGGAAGATGGTCAAAAATTGTCCCCAGCAGATAGCAAAAAAATGGACACACACACACACACACACACACACACACACACACACACACACACACTCACCACCCTTTGCTGAATGTTGGTCCTGGTTTCTTTTGTTGTTCATGTCGCAGCCTTTTTCTACTCTTGTGAAAACTCAACCTGTTGTCGGGCAGCCCGTGCTCAGCGGGACCATCTGTTCCCCCTCAGAGTCTCTCACGCACACATACACACACTTGGACAGTGACGTGACCACATATAGCAAACACACGGGCCAGTTGCTTTCTCCGTGGTCCCTGCTTGAGGCAGACTGTTACATCTGTCCCTGTCTAACCTCAACCCCTCTGGCCCAGCAGCAATTAGCCCCTATTAGCAGTCCCGTGGGAGTGGGATTCATTAAGGAGACTGGCATGTTCTCAGCAGTGTGCAGCYGGCTAACCAGCAGCTGACAGCTTATAGTCCAAAGTAATGGAATGTGACCAAATGAGCAGAAATGTTGCCTAAAACATACATAATGTCTTTGAGTGTTTTACAAGAAGTTTGAATAACTTCGCATGAAATGTTCTTCCCACTTTGGTTTGAGATTTTATTCGAACATTTGTAATTTTCATAATTTCCCCGGTTTTGTTTGGATTTTCAGATCGGGGAGCGTCAAGCATCACTGGAACGAGATTTACAACTTTGTAAAACAAGTGGCACAAAAATTTATTAGGTAAAAGCTCATTCATGTTTCAATCGTTTTTGGTTTCCTGACTCTTATTTGTGTTAACATGAAATGAACTGTGTTCCTGCAGCCCCATGCTGAGAATGTCCTTTATAGTTTTCTCCACACAAGGAAAAATCATCATGAAGCTGACTGAGAACAGGTAACAGCTGCACCTTTTTATGTTCCTCTGTTTTGCATTTGTCATATTGCATCATGACATTTACAACTCTTACACCTCTGAGGGACTAACTCTGATCTCCTTTGTTGATTGAATTCAGTTTTATGCAGTTCCGGGTTTAGCAGCCACACTTAGCAGAGTTTAAGGCTGACTTTGACCAAGGCAAACTGTAGCATTTTCTGAAGTCCAGACACAACAGCTGCATTTGTTTCCTCTGAAACCAAAGCATTTTGAGTCCAGATCTTATGAGCACCACATCCTCGGTCCAAACGTTCATGCATTCACCATTTTGGATGCAACTGTTTTCAGTTTGAGACTGAACTGGATGAACGTCTTGCTGAAAGCCAAAAATCACAGCCCCAGTGAGTGACCTAGCATCAGCACTGCCAGATACACAGTAATTACTGTTTTTATTWGATAGTTCTAGGGTTGAGTCCCCCTCCAATTCAGTGCATGTTCGCCAAACACAACACACACCTCATCCTCATCCCCCCGCCCCCAAAAGAAAGCACACCCTCTCTTGACACACGATACACAGAAACATTTTCGAGCAACAGCTCAATATTTCAAACATATTTCAAATTTGACAACTCCGCCTGGCAACGAAACTGCACAGGATTCAATGAGCACAGCATAAYTTAGTTTCTTTTTGTTGATTTGTTACAATCAACAGAGAAACAGCTAATGTTTCCAGAGATGGTTCACACGGCCTAAGATCTAATATCAAGTTCTTTCTGAACCAAAAGCATTTGATCCAATTCAGCTCTGCCTCCTGTTTTGTTTGACATTCAAGAGAAAACTCCCTACCTTTTGATTTTATTTTTAATCAAGTTGTTTGATTTTATTTTTAATCAAGTTGTTTAACTGTTTACCTTTCAGGGAGGCCATAACTGAAGGCTTAAAGGCTCTATACGATGTCAAACCTGGAGGAGACACATATATGAACTTAGGCCTGGAGATGGTAAGACTCTTATTCTGAAATTTACCTGCTCAGGTTGAATTAATTCTGACAGCTGTAACCAGGACTCATTAGATAACCACGAGGTGGCAGACAACGCCTAAATGACTCACTGCTTCACTAAAGCACAGGTGTAGGTGTTTAACAAAGTCACTCACTGGCATAAAATCTTTAACAGAAACTCTGTTCACAAGAAAATATATTGTGCTTCTTTATAAGTTCATCATTTTTTAAATAAATTTAAAATAAAACCTTTTACTGTGTAGAGAAAACAAATAATTTCTGTCTAACTTTGATTTAGTTTCTGTTTCTCTTGTGATTGAGACTATTTTGTTCTTTAAAAAAAAGGTAGAACTCTGCAGCAGAGTTTTATTTTCCATTTCAGGTTTGGTTACGGCAGCAATGCAGGAATTYCATGAATTTGTTACACAGTGAAGTTTTCAAGGAAAAAAAAAGAAGAGAAGTCTGGGTTACAAAATATTTCAGACAGTCCAGGGGCAGAACAAACTGGAGCGTTGCCTCAGTATTTGCCTCCTCTGTGTTTTATTCATTCTTTTTTTAAAAAAATTTACTGAGCAAAGATGTTCCAAGCCTTGCATGAATTTAAAACAGGAAAAAAAAGTTTTAGAATTTATTTTAAAAAGCAAAGGTCAGGAAAATACTAAAAGTGCCTTTTGATATCTTTATTATTCAATATGTTTCCTTCTTTTGGTTGTTGTTGAACCTTTGATGCCTTTTCTCTTTCAGGCTAACACACAGATATATCAAGAGAACCACGGTAACCTGAGACTCACACATGTTATGTTCCAGTATGTAATTTCAGAAAGATTAAATATTTGTGTTGTCTGCAGGAACTGCCAGTGTTATCATCGCCCTGACTGATGGAGAACTGAATGAGTGGCAGTTTGACACTGCGCAGCGAGAGGTAACTTCACATACTTACTGTACTCTGGCAGCTTGCCATGACTGAAAAGATGAGGTCATTTTTTAAATCATGCTGAGATTAGTTAACACAACTCAGATGGTTGATTTTTTTTCTTTCTTTTTTTTTTTTTTTTTTTTTTTTTTTTTTTTTTTTGTTGACTCAGCCACTATTTCAAATTACGCAACATCAGATCTGGCTCCCTTTTTAAACAGCGTGCATCTCTAGTCTACATTTTTGTGGACTAATAAAGTATTTATAGGCTCGAGGGAAAATCATTTTAAACTGACTCAGCTTTCTCATTTTTTTTATTATTTTCCTTCAGGCACAAAGGGCCAGGTCTCTGGGAGCCACCGTTTATTGTGTGGGGGTTAAAGATTTTAACCAGACCCAGGTAAGAGTTGCAGGCAAAAGAAACGTCACAAAATGCTCGAAATAAATTTCACAGTTTAAATTTCTCTGTCTCTTGTAGCTTGCAACTATCGCAGACACCATGGAACATGTGTTTCCTGTAGTGGGAGGCTTCCAAGCCCTCAGGGGAATCATCGACTCGGTACGATACACACCGAGTACCACATTCACGTCATCTAAATACTTGCCCACACAGGGAGACCMATTTTAACCTCGTTACTAAATTATCTCCTAAGGATGTTTTTATTGTTTGCGGTTCCCAGATCATCAAGAAGTCTTGCATCGAGATTTTGGCGGCGGAGCCATCCAGCGTGTGTGCGGGAGGTAAGAGGTGTGAGGATCGAGGGCCAGTCATGGTGCGCGATTATGTCAAGTCGTTCAGAGTGGAACAAGACGTCGAGTAATTGCACGGACGCTCATGACTGAGGAGTGACAGAGAGCGTATTGTCAGTCACGGCCAGGGGAAATTAGCATAGCCTCTTCAGCACAGCGTGTGTGCAGGAAAAAAAAGATTGGGGGGGGTGTCGGTCAGAGAAATTAGCTGTGGGTCTTTAAGCATGGCTGCATCCCTGGCCTAGTTTGCCTCATTACATATGCAAACAAGCCTTTATGATTGTTTGAAGCTGATCCTTTTTTATGTCCTCCTCCTGCTTCCCTGGTGAAGTTTAAAGGAAGTTAAAGGTGATGCTGAGGAAAATATTTTCTGGGTAGCCAGCAGGATGGATGGGCTTTGACATGACCCTGTTAGGACTCACTTAGGAGAGTGCATTTGCCGTCCTGCTACCAGGACAGCTAAAGAAGCTTTCATTATGGGATGTGAAGGATGAGGAAACCAACATTAAAAGAGCAAATAAAAAGAAATAAATCTAYGGATTTTTAATGTTATACAGTTATAAACTATTACAGTTCTTGCTTTCTAGCCAGTCTGATTGTGCATCGCTGGACACAAATGTCCCCCAACAGCTTCATTTATTATTCGATTGATGAATCGCCTAATAGTCAGTGAACTAAGAGACCCGCTTTAACCATGGCTGGATTCTGGCCTAATTAATGAAGATTGGTGCTCATGTGTTCGTGGCGCGGGTTCATCTTTTGTTGTGACTTTGTTTATCCTGTTTTTACCACCCAAAATGTTTATCACTATAAAACTATTTAAATACAGGAATTGTCGATGACTTTAACATGTATTTGCTTTATTTTGAAAAGAAAAAAAATCCAGCATTCAMGTTATTTTTATTTATTTATTTAGATTCACTTTTTCAATCTGACGTACGACTCGTATATTGTGACAGTTTCTGCTTTTCCATTCACCTGCGCGTAGTCACATAGCATATCGAACACGTTTTGGACCGACACGCACATTTAGATGCTTTATAGTCGGCGAGCGCACAACGCACACACAAGCACATGAAGACACGTCCCTCACGTTGATGTGAAGTGACCAGACCGAGCCGCCTGCGAACAGGCCATCAGACTGGACAGTGAACACTGGGCCTCACTATCGGACATGACAGCACCGATTTCCCCCTCCCTACACACACACACACACACACACACACACACACACACACACACACACACA